TGTTTTGATAAACGTCTTTGCATTATCTTTGGTTCTACACACGCTAAGGATCAGAAAGGCTGTAAGCATAATAATAATGATAAAGCAATTAAGGGCACAGGTTCTGATAAAAGAGAAAAAAAAAGAAGACATACACATGGGGAAAATGTAAGCAGTTACCGAAGGCTCATTACAAAAAAACACAGATTCTGAATTCAGAATGTCTGGCTTCAAACTCTGGCTACCCCATTTGCTAGTTGTGTAACACTGGTCATGTTATTATTAAAATCCTCTTTGCCTGAGTCTCTTCTTTGATAAAATGGAAATGAGTACTAATATAACTCAAAGGGCAGGTTGAGGATTAAATGATCTACTACTATATGCTTGGAACAGTTCCTGGCATAGCAAGCACTCAATAAATGTTAGGAGCTTTACTGTCTGTCTGCAGGGGATCTGAGCATACACATAAACATGGTGGTAGACTGGAGGGTTATTCCAGAAACTTTATTCCCTTTACTTCTAGAATATAATAAATCAGGTCCAGAAATAGGAATCTACTTCTAGAAAAGCATTCAGCATTATATCTTACATACAGAAGGCTCAGCATTATATCTTACATACAGAAGGCTCAGCATTATATCTTACATACAGAAGGCATTCAAATAATTTGTTGGATGAGTAAAAATAAAAGAACTGGGACAAAAATAAGAAATTCTGGGAAATGACTTTTAGGGGAAATATCTTTTCTTTGTGTGATGGTAAAAAGAAAAGATTGGAGCCAAAGACTGAAAAGACAAAACTGAAATTCTTTTAGAGTACGATAGCTCATTTCACTGCAGTTATCATCAAGGGAATCAACAGTGTTAATTGTTATTCACATGCCAGTAGGAGAAAATCTAGAACTTAAAAGCTTGCTTTTAAATAAATTAGTACACACAGAAAAAAGAAAGTCACGAGGATTTCTGATGGTGATATACCTGATTTCATCCTGTTTTGCTGTGAGGAAGAAGTGTGGGGATAGGTAAAGATTTAACTTTCTATGGAAACATCAAAATGGTTTCTTTGGAAATGCTATGTAATGAAATAACTAGAGCACAACTTCTATCGGCCAGTGCACAAACTAATCTGAAGCCACACTGTGAACACTGGAAAATTTTCACTTTTTAGCCTCTTATTTCAGAAAATGTAAGCAGAGTCTCTAGTCTAGGAGTTATGTAACCCCATTCTGGTTGGTGAGATGTAAAGACTTGTAGGAGATTTGAGGGGAAGGTTTTCCTCCATGAAATAACTCAGTACACCAGAGAGTATCTGTGATCCCTGCTTCTGGACTTGAGGTATTGTGTTAAAAAGAGTACAATTCTCAGATCTGCTGCAGATGGAAAAACCGAAAGGATGGTAGTAATCTATGCCAGTGTGTAACAACCTTGAGCTATAGAACCAATCTTTGAATAATTTACCTCCATGTTTCTCATTGTGGGAGGAGAAATTAAAAACAAGTTAGGACAGCCTGTTGTTTGGTTTTTGCAGACCTCCTAGATTTATTCTAATTTTTCCGATCTTTCCTTTAATATTTTCTATCTTTGTTTTATTTGGCTTTCTGGAAGATGTCCTTAACTTTATGTGAGTGAGTGAAGTCGCTCAGTCATGTCCGACTTTTCGCGACCCCATGGACTGGCATGGTCTACCAGGCTCCTCTGTCCATGGGATTTTCCAGGCAAGAGTACTGGAGTGGGTTGCCATTTCCTTCTCCAGGGGATCTTCCCAACCCAGGGATCGAACCCAGGTCTCCCGTGTTGTAGACAAACGCTTTACTGTCTGAGCCCCCAGGGAAGTCCTTAACTTTATAGTGTATGTTTATCTATCTGTTTATATGCACATGCAGATACACACACATATATAAATTCCCTACTATACTATTTTAACTCTTATTATTTTAATTTCCAAGAGCTCTTTCTTATTAATACTTTTGCTTCTTTAATTCAACCATGAAGAAAGAACAGATTATGGATCTTCTCTTCTCTTTGATGTTATAGTGATTTTCAAATTTTCTCTGTTCTCTGCACTGTTTCTGAGTCCCTTTTGACCATTTCTGCCATTATCTTTCCTGTTAAAAGCTTTCTTCAAATATCTGGTTATTCTTAACTGTTCATTTGTATTTAAGAATTACAAACCCTGAAGATGTCAATACTACACAAAGCAATCTACAGATTCAATGCAACCCCTAACAAAATCCCAATGTGTTTGCAGAAACAGAAAAACACCATCCTGAAATTCATGAGAAAAACCAAGGGATCCCAAATAGTCAAAACAATCTTGAAAAAGAACAAAGCTGGAGATCTGCATTTCCACAATGAGATATCCCTTCACACTCATTAGGACAGCTATTATTACACACACACATACAGAAAATAAGTCTTAGCAAAGATATAAAGAATTGTTCATGGGAATGAAAAATGTAGCTGCTTATGGAAAACAGAATGGCAATTCCTTAAAAAATTTAATATACAATTATGTTATGATTCAGTAATTCCACTTCTGGGTATATACATCCCCAAAAAGTAAAGTCAGTATTATTCACAATAACCAAAAGGTGGAAACAACCAACCACTGATGGCAGCCATCAATAGATAAATGGATAATATACATTATATTATATACAGGTATACATACATATACACAATGAAATATTTTTCAGCCTTAAAAAGGAAGAAACTTTTGATACATTCTTCAACATGGATGAAGCTTGAAGACATTATGCTAAGTGAAATCAGTCAGTTACAGGATAAATATGTTAGAATTCCACTTATAGGACAATCTCAGAGTTGCAAAATTCATCGAGACAGAAAAGAGAATGGTGGGTCTCAGTGGGTAATCAGTAGATTACTCACTTAAGGGCCTTCAAATATCAGGACCCACAAGTCGTTTCCCTTGGCCTGGTCAACTTTCCTCAGGGAAGAAAACTCTCAATTCCGGCCAGGCTCCTCTTCATACTAAATCAAATGGTGGTTAAGTTCAATGTTTTAACTTATTTATGTATTTATTTTCTGTAAACCACTCCCTTGATTAAAATATAAGCTATCTGAAGGCAGAGATTGGGAGAAGGGGATTCCTTTTTTTAAAAATATACATCCCCAGAGCCTAGACAAGTACAAATGTTAGCAGGCACTCAATAATTGCCTGTTGAATAAATGAATCAAAAATTTATGGAGCACTTATTTCATAATTGTAAACTCAAAATTTAGCCTTTAAATTACCATGTGTGAGGTATTCCCATTTTACCAATTAGGTGAGATATAGGGAGGTTAGGTAACCTGTCTGCAGAAATTAAGGCAGAGCTACAATTCAAACACAGGGTCTGTGTAACTCAATGGTTCATCTCAACCACTATATTATACTGCTTTCTATAGAGAAACTGTGTAATGTTAGTCCCTGACAGTAAGAATCTATGTGCTAATGATCCAACCTATGAGGTATAGTCTGCTGTGTCGTTCAGCTGCTAGGTTGTGTCTGACTTTTTGTGACCCCATGGACTGTAGCTTGCCCCTTTTCTGTCCATGAGATTTTGCAGGCAAGAATACTGGAGTGAGTTGCCATTTCCTTCTCCAGGGGATTTTCCCAAGCCAGGGATGGAAGCCGCGTCTCCTGCACTGCAGGCAGACTCTTCACCACTGAGCCACCTGGGTGGCCCTATACCGTCCGAGTCAGATAAAATTCCAATAGTAAAAAGCCTGAAGAGTATGTGGGTGGAGGGGCAAATGAATCCCTGCTATAGGGAAACCGTGTTATTGATGCAAATGTATCGCATCTGAGGGTGGGGAAAGTTTCCTGACACTAAAATGGCTGGCAGAAAAACTGCTGGTTAAGTTGTCTAATTCTGATTAACAAGCAATTATCATTTTCACCAGGACTATTTGCCTCCTTGTGACTCCTTTGCTTGTTCTCCTCACACACAAAAGTAAAACAGAGAGCATGTGATATTACAAAATACACTAACTAGCATTCAGAGGTATGAGTTCCAGTCCTAGCACTGATACTAACTGGCAGAGTGCTCTGTGATAAGCCACATAAAGAGAGAATAGTTTATTAGCAGTTATTTCCAAACTTTCAAGGTAATTTTAGAAATATACAAACTTACTTTCTCTTGAAATACAGATTTAACTTACCCTTTAAAAGTAATTAGATTACTAAATTAGAATTTTGGTTTAGGAGTCTGTTGATCCATGCCTAAAAAGTCCCTGGCATTTGAAGGCAAATGGTAACCTGATCATTTGTAATTTAGGGTTATCTCCCAGTATGACTGGTGCTTATAGTTGGAGCTAGCTTTTATGGAGACTGGCAGTATAGTGCAGTGGTAATTGGTATGGGTTGTGGAGCCTGACTGCCTAGACTCTGGAACAGCTTCCTTGCTGTGGAACTTGAGTGACTTACATAAGGAAACTAATGCCAAGAAAGCTTATCTGTGATTATTACAGTAACGGCTACCTCATAGGATTAAGAACAATAACTAATCTATAAACTTACAATGATGTTCGAGACTGGCTACAAAAGTTTCAAGGCACTATTAAACTGTAACGTTAAGCAATCTTGAGATACTCAAATTTTGTAAATTTTACCCATGAGGAAGCAAAAACCTATTTGCAGAGGACTGGTTCTGGAAACAAGATATTTTGCAAAATTCTCCCCATTTTCTAATACAGCAACTAGTTTGCTGACCTCCAGAAAAGAATGTTTTCTCTTTTTTCAGTAATTTTTTCTTCTTTTCAACCAGGGTAATATTTTGAAGTTTATATACAACTTCTTCTTTAGTTTTGCTATTTCCCAAATTACCAAATACTACATATTTATTGTAACAAGTGAAACAACATTATAAAGAGTACAATAAAGACAAAGCTAATTCTCTCTTCCCATATCTATTTTTAATCCCACTCCCTAAAATAACCCATATTACCAATACAAATGCATCTTACAAGTTCATTTTCTTTTTCTCAAAATTACTACAAATATGACACTCAAAAGCTTACCTCCAGATATATTGATGGTGGATTATGCTCCCCACCAAATTTGTCCAATAGGGCCTCTATATGCTCCTGTGTCAACTTAATCATTTGTTTGATATTCCACACCTAAAAAAATTTTAAAAGAATTTAAATACAAATCATTTAGAATATGAATTAGAAATTATCTTCATATTCCTACTGAAATATTATAGTAACTTCCAGTGTTCCTTGAAATTTAGAGCTTAGAGATCTCGAGATGATTTATTTTAAACTTCTTCTTACACTAGTAATACAATATATTCTCAACTATAAAACATTTAAGTAATACATGAGTATTCAGGAACAAGCAGTAAAAATCTCTTTTCACATTCCCCATATTTCCGGGTGTCCTGCCAAAAAGTTAAGTCCTATTTATGGTTTGGTATACATTCTTCCATAACTTTTTACTCCAATAAAAAACAAAAATCCATACATATATAAAATAGACAAATACATGTATATTACTTATTAAAATATTCTCAACACTTGCTTTCTTTACCAAACAACATGCCTCAGAATTCTCTCCATGTCAATATGTATGTATTTTGCTTTTATTTTTTTTAGTGTTTTTAAGTATTTGTTCTTTTAATATAGTTTCAGTTTTACTTAACTAACTGATTTTTCTTCATTGCTGTGCACAGACTTTCTCTGCTGTGGTGAGCAGAAGGCTACTTCTCACCGTGGCGTGTGGGCCTCTCCTCCTGGTGCCTTTTTATTACAGACACAGGTTCTAGGCACAGAGGCTCAGTAGTGGTGGTGCCTGGGCTGAGCTGCTCCATGGCATGAGGAATCTTCCCGGACCAGGGATCAAACCCACGTCCCTTCATTGGCAGATGGATTCTAATCCACTGTACCACCAGGGTGGTCCTATTTTACACCTTTTAAATGGCTGTATTACAACATCATAAGTTCAGACAAGACAACATTCATTTCATAATGTTAGGACACTGCTTATTTCAATGGTCTTCAAACTTCAAAGGTAACTTAAGGTTAGGTGGATACAGATGATTTTAGGAGAATCATTTCCAGATTTCCAGTGTCTATTTGTATTCTTCCTAACTGATCTGCTTAAGAACTAGTTCTTCTTTCTTCCTCTTCTTTAAAGATCACTGCTTTGTAATTCTCCACTTTGTAAAAGGCAAAATCCTTATCCATCTCAAGTGCATCTACTAATGTGTACTCTTCTGAGCTAAATAAACTTTCAACTACCTAACAAACAAGAAAAGAAGGAAAATCCCTTGACAAAAAAGGGGGCGGGGGGATACTAAGAGCAAGACCTTATTTTATCAGTGAAACAAATTCTTGGGAAGGTTTCAAGCCTTATCCATTTATCCAGAATCCAACTGAGAATTCAGAAGTCTAGTGGTCATAGTATAGGCACACAGTACATGTTTAAGATAAATAAGCAATCAGATTATTTTTTTCTTAGTGAAAAGTGAGTTCAATCTATCTGAGTGGTGTGAGAACATGCTTTTTGCAAATTACACTACAGTATATACTGTCTACAGATACTCTCTATAAACTGAATGATTTAAATCTGTAATTTTATGGTGTGACTGAAAATGTATTTAACATAAAATATACTCTAGAAATAAAGGCCACTTAAATTATTTAAAGTTATAATGAAAAATGTGAGATAATTTTTTAAATGTACAAAGGAAAACAAATAAGCAAAGGGCACTGGGTTTATTTAATAATTCCTTCCTGGAGGACATTTACATTATTTCACCTCTCCCAGCTTTAAACAATGCTTCAAAATGGCTCTGTAATGCCTTTCTGGGCAAAGGTAGAAGTTTTCCTTTTAGATAGTGAGGCACAGGATTCCAAAATTGAAGGATATGCACATTTAAAAAATCAGTATGGCAGATGGTCTTCCAAAAGGACAATAAGTACCAAGATACCTCCTATTAGGGTATCAGTCCACCGTTTCCCCACAATCCCACCACAGTGTATATTATCAAACTTAAAAATTTTTCCTGATCTTAATGGGGGAAACGTGATCTTCTTGCTTCAATTTGTATTTCCCAGGAAGTTGAGCATTTTCCACACTTATTGACCATTTAAATTTCTTTATGAAAAATTCTCTATCCATATTCTTTCTCCCTTCTATTTTTTTTCTTTTCAGTTTCTAGATGCCCTTTTTTCTGGATATTAATCCTTATTCTCCTACAAATGCTGCAGTCTTTCCTTCTTTTTACTCTACTTTACTTTTTTTACTTTTACTTTTTACTGTAGTCATAGATTGTCTTGCTACTCAAAGCATGGTTCATAGACTACCAGCAGCATAATCTTCTGGAAGTTTGTAGGAGCAGCAGAATCTCAGGCCCCATTTCAAACTTACTGAACTTTAACAAAATGATCCTTATTAAAGTTTGAGAAGAAATGACAGAAGTTTCTAGTTTTTTCTATAACCAGATATTACAATATTTTCCTTTATGAATCCTTGGCTAATTTCTCATTATCCCCACCAAGCATCAGGATGTCTTTTCTCTAGTTACATTTACTCCCCAAGTAATCTTATCTAATCCCACAGCTTTATATATGTACTGATGAAGTCCAAACTTTTAAATCCAGGTCTGTTCTCTCAACGCCATGGTATTTTTGTTCAGGTGCCTACTGTACATTCCTACATACTTATTAAGATAAGTATTTCAAACTTAACATGTTCAAAAGTTAACTTGATATTTATCCACCAAGTCCTGTTTCAAAATCTGTTTTTCTTACAGTCTCTTCATCTCAGAAAATGACAAACTCCCTCTCTGATGAGTTCACTGACCACCCAGGGCAGAACTGCTTTATAATCAGAATTTAATATTCTAAAATTGATTCTGTTTTTCATGTCTATTAGCTACTTTGAAATCAGAAATAAGTTTTATTCATCTTTTATTCCCTCATCACTTATCTTGGTGTCTTAGTCATTACAGGTATTCAAATTAGTGCTGGAGATAAGATTTAAGCTTTCTTCAGAATAGGATAAGAGAGAAAAATTAATCCTAGTTCAGCAATTCTTTACAGTCCAAGAAATTAAGTACTCTATTACCTACAATCTCTCTTTTTTCTTTTCCCCCTTAAAGTTCCACAGATAAAACTCGTGTGGTTAGGGTAAAGAACCATTCACCCAAAGAATGGTAGAAAAAGAAAAAAAAAAATTAGAGAGGGCAAAGAGCATGCGAGAAATGAGGAGACTGAGCTGATTAGAATTGATTCCTTTTCTTCCTGGCAGTAGAAAATGCTAAGATTTATATAAGGCAGGGCCAAACGACAACTGCCTGAAAGGCAGGTTTCTTAACTTCCAAACAAAAGTAAGTTTAAAGCCAAAGAATGAAGAAACATCACTATGAACACTCACTTATAAATAGAAAAAATCAGTCTGAGCAAGCAAACTCTTTCAGATTTTTCCTAAAGNGAACTTCACCCAGAAATAACACCCTAAGTGGGAAAGAAAAATTAATTAGCATCCATTGACATTTGAAAGGAAGGAGGGAGACAGGAGTGTGGGAAGGATGGTTTAGTCTATAAGAATTATAAATTGTGGCCTTATGGTGAATCTTCCATTGGAAATAGGTTCTCAAGTCTATGAAAAATGCCTCTACTGACATATGAGTACTGTCGGAAGTAACCTAGAACATCAAAACCCATCTGGAGGACCATCCACATGGTGTCTACAATCCTATGCAGTAACACATGTATGTGAATGTATAACCCAGACAATAATACTAAACAGCACATATGCCCATCACAGTTTTATCAGAAAGTGTGACTGTGGACAAGTAACTTCTCCAGGTCATTTCGGTTTCCTGCTTAAGTGGGTGATGTACACAGTGTGAGAACTAGGTGGGAGAGGGGCCAACTGCAGAGCCTCACATTAAGGCCCCCTTGCATGTTGCTGGAGTGCAAACTCAGAAAGGGAGGAGAGACAGTCACTGTCTAGTGTTTAAGTGGGTCGTTTCTATCTCCCACTTGTCCCCGACATCCGCAGACCAAGCAGTATTACTGCATACAAATGAATGCATGTACGGCGCAACACGTCTCTCTCCTTCCAGTGAGGAATGCCTCCATTTGTGTGGGTCATTCCTTTCCTCCGACTCTGTCATACACCTCAGAAGATAAGGTCAAAAAACATTGCTGCACTATGGAAAATAGTACAGAGGTTCCTTAACAGACTGAAAATAGAGTTGCCATATGACCCAGCAATCCCTGGGCATATATCTGGGAAAGACAAAAGCTCCAATTTGAAAAGATGTATACACCCCAAAGCACTGTTTATAGTATCCAACACATAGAAGTAACTTAAATGACCATCAACAGGTGAATGGATATAGAAGATATAGCATAGATAGATAGATAGATGATGGAATATTACTCAACTGTAAAAAAAGAATGAAATACTGTTATTTGAAGCAGCATGGTTGGACCTACAGATTATCAGACTAAGTGAAGTAAAACAGAGCAAGGCAAATATCATATATCACTTATATGTGAAATCTAAACAAATGATACAAAAGAACTTATAAAACAGAAATAGATTCACAGACATAGAAAACAGATATGGTTACCAAAGGGAAAGGCTGGGCAGGATAAATTAGGAGTTTGGGATTAATAAATAGACACTAATAAATGGAGGAGAATTTTTTTAAGAATTTAAAAAAAATTTTAAATATATATCTGAGTTATGTTGCTGTACACCTAAAATTAAGACAGCATATTGTAAGTCAACTACACTGCAATTTTAAAAATATTGACAGATACAGAAAATTGTCTACGTTTTTTCCATTTTCCATTGACAGGAGGAGAAGGGGATGACAGAAGATGAGATTGTTGGATGGCATCACCGACTCAATGGACATGAATCTGAGTAAACTCCGAGAGTTGGTGATGGACAAGGGAGGCCTGGTGTGCTGCAGTCCATGCGGTCGCAAAGAGTCGGACACGACTGAGCAACAGCACTGAACTATATATTAGTAAACAACAGATCATTTCTCACAACTTGCAAAAGGCAAAATTCACTCTCCAAAAAATGTTATTTAAAAAAAAAAAAATCTATGCTAAAATATAATGCATAAGAACTGCTATGGAAAGAACTGAAGGATGGCAATGGATGAAAAAAAACTACAGGCACTGATGATGCCCCTCCCCCCAACAAGAAGGTATCAGGTTCAAATCAATGATTTCTATCAAATCTTTAAGGAAATACACTATCAATTAATAGGTGATAGTACATATAAAAAAGAAAACCTTTCAAATTCGTTTTATGAAGCTAGCAAAATCTAGATGTCAAAACTTGACAAAAACAAAAAAATAAAGCCACAAAATAATCTAACTTGTGAGGACAAACTCAAATATAACTCAGTACTATATATGTATTTTTTAATGTAGGACTAGAGATCTCTTCAAGAAAATTCAAGAAAATTAGAGATACCAAGGGAACATTTCATGCAAAGATGAGCACAATAAAGGACAGAAATGGTATGGACCTAACAGAAGCAGAAGATATTAAAAAGAGATTTCAAGAATACACAGAAGAGCTATATAAAAAAGATTTTCATGACCACAGATAACCACAACAGTGTGATCACTCACCTAGAGTCAGGCAGCCTGGAATGACAGTGAGGGACTCTGGGAAGCTTATGTTCACATTGCTGTATTTAAAATGGATAACCAACAAGGACTTACTGTATAGCACAGGGAACTCTGTTTAATGTTATGTGCCAGCCTGGATGGGAAGGGGGGTTTCAGGGAGAATGAATACATGTATATGTACGGCTGAGTCCCTTTGCTGTTCACCTGAAACTGTCACAACATTGTTAACTGACTGTATATCAGTACAAAATAAAAAGTTTCTAAAGTTTTAAGTAAAGTAAGATAAGTAAAACTGACTCATGTCTGAATAAATTCTAGTTTCCATGAATAAACTTCAGAAATTCAGAGTTGAAAAGAAAACCCTAAATGGTTCCTACAAAATAACTAGAATTAATATCAGGCTTTCGATCAGCAACATGAAAAGACAAAGTAGATTACTTGTTGCCGAAGACTGGTGGATTAGTGGGAATGGGGAATGACTGCTGTCTGGGGGATTCTTTTTGGGGTGATGAGCATGTTCTACAGTGATTGGGGTGACAACTGCACAACTCCGGGAACATATTAAAACCTGCTGAAGTATATTCCTTAAATGGATGCGTTCTATGATATGTGAATTAGGTCTCAATAAAGCTGTTAAACAGAAAAAACAATGGAGTAATGTTTTCACTGTCCTATATAAAAATGATCTGAACCTAGACTTCTACCCTCAGGCAAACTACCAATCAAGCATGAGGTTAAATGAAACCTTTTTGGTCATGTAACGTCTCAAGAATTTACCTCAATAGGATTCACAGGTCTGAAAACAGTCCTATCTTTTAACTTAGCAATTTCACTTCTAGGAATTTTTACCAATCTCCCACAAAACTAGAAAAACATAGTAGGTCTATTTATAAAGAGAAATGATTCACTAGGTGATAAAACATCAACTGATTTAAAATTTGGCACTATCTTTACATTTTAATACCACAAAACAAGCACAAAGCAAAAACTGAAGTTGCTTCCCCCACCCACCAAAAAGACAACCCATAAAAAGTTATGTTTTAAAGTAGAGAATTAAAGATAACAAAAGTAATGACAAAATACAGTCAGAACAACTAGACATAAGGTCTGGTTATGAAGAGTCCTGAAAGTCATGGTAAGTTGCTTTAATTTTATTCTAAGATATGAGAATTTGAATTTTCAAAAGCAGACATATGTGTGTCATAATCTGATATTTTATCACTGACAATTATCATCTCATTTTATAGGTGAGAACACTGTGGCACAGAGCTGTTAAATTATATATGGGAGAAGAATGAGAGAAGTGAGAATCAAAGCTGACCCCCAAATTTTAAAGTAGGTAACAGGATGGACAGTGACGCTATTGACTGAAGTGGGGAATCTCTAGGGGAAGAAATCAAGTATTATATCACCTAAAAGAGAGGTTAATTAAATGATCAAGTAGGCAGCTGGCTATGCATTTCAGCATTCAGGAAGAACTATGAGGCAGGACATATATTTAGATGTCACAGAATGCTAACAAGGAAATCTCCAACAGAGTATACACAAAGAAGACTCAACCCTAGAGCCCATCAAAATTTAGAAGACTGACAGAGTCCACAAAAATGATTGAGAAGAAACAGACACTGAGGTAGGAGAAAAACTTGATTCAGTGAAGATAATTTATTAGATAAGAACAGGAACAAGAAATAGATAGGAGACAGAAGAATGAAATATAAGTATCTGTATATAGTTTGTCATCATATTTATATGTATTTGCATATGTATCAGGGCTGGCAGATAACAGAGTATGTTTGTAGGCTGGAGGGAAAATCCAACTGAAAGACAGAAACTGATGATGTGTAAAAGAGATGCCAGCTGCAGAAAAGAAGCCCTAGAGACAGTAAGAAGAGATGGAACCTGAGTCACAAGAAGTGGAATTAGACTAGCAGGGAAGGTTTCTTAATAACAAGAGAAAGGAAGACTGAGAACCTGAAGACCAATGCAGGTAGGTTTGCAGATACAGTGATGCAAAGATGATGACAGCTGCATCAGATTTCTCAATAAAGTTTGAGGTGAGGTCCATAAATGAGAGTGGGGGCTGTGAGAGGTTTGCAATGAGTGGAAACACAGTATTAATAGAAAGTGAAGGAGTAGCAGCACTGCCAGATATTGTTTAAGTGCTGTTGAGGTTTGTGGCATAAATTTAGAGCAGTACATTCAACTGCCTGAGTGCAAGCAGAGACACAGTGGCCAGATGGTATTTTGTTCTGCCCATAAATGGGGAGAGGGACTAGACAGTCAAGGATATCATTAATTCTTACAGGCATTCCTTACTAAAATCTTCGTCCTGAAGTCTGTGAGTTGTGAAGAAAGTTTTACTTGAGAAGGCTGAAGAAGGGCTATAATCAAGGGCAAAACAGGTATCTGGAACCTTTCTGAGCTTAAGAAAGAGGTTGAGGATTTAAAAGTTTGCTGGACACAGTTTCACAATTACTTTGGCCAGCAGACAGTGAGAAATAAAAACAGGAAAGTGGTACTCATGAAATCAACAAATAGAAAATGTCCTGACTTTGAGTTAAGCTTGGAAATTAAAATTATCTAAAACAGAATAAGTGAATCAAACCATTTCTTCTGGTTGATTAAGAGTAAGTAAACCCTAATATTTCCAGAATCCTGACAAAGCACAAAAGAAAACAGCACATAAATGAATTATTCTAAACTGTCCATAAAATTGTC